GACGAGGATTAATCATCATTGTGGTTGATGAATTCCCTGCAAGGTAATATTTGACCAATGTTGGTATATATGTTAAGTGGTTCATCGTTATCATTATCAAAATTGTTTCTTATGATGTATCAGGATTCTAATTCATTTTACAGAATTATTGGTTCTTTTTATTTTTCTAGATTCAACCTTTAGCTTCAAATTCAGTATTTAGCTTCAATGGTTCTTGTAAGTTTCAAAATTTGAAGAAAGCATTTTTGAGCTACAAAGTTGGATTGTTAAACTTCAGAATGTTCAACTGGTGAATTTTATATGCTGCTTCCTGCTTGACATTTGGATCTCTCTGCAAAGTGCAAAGTAAAATCCATACGTTTCATATAAGGCACACGTGTGTCTTATGGGGCTCTTTCTGCTAAAATTAAGCCCGTTTAATTATTGAGCCCATTTAGATTTATATATTGCACACATGTGTCTTATACGGCTATTTCTGCCAAAACCAAGCCCGTCAAGTATTTAGCCCATTTATATAATGCACACATGATGTATTAAAGGGCTCGTTCTGCCAAAATCAAGCCCGTTTAAGTATTTAGCCCATTAAGATTTAACCTGTTGAATCGGGACTAGCCACGTGGTCGAATACTTAATAGGGTTAAATTTCCCACACCACACCTGTAAATAAAACTAAAAAATGGTCTTCTTCGAATTAAAAAAAAAAACTAAATAAATTGAAAAATCTGACAAAAATATCCATTCGTTTCTCTTCTCCACTCTCGCTTTCTCCTGGTTCTTTCTAGTTTCTACTTCTACCTCTCATGGCGGACAAGCTAGCTCTTCCACTTCTCCTTCCCTGTACTCCTTCCTCTAAACCCTTTTCTCACGACCAAAACCACCATCTCTCTCGGACGCCTTTTCTTACTACGTCACTTTCGTCACCACCTCCTCCTCCGCCGGTAGAACCTCTTCTCCACGATGTTTTCCTTCACCAAAACTCTAATTCCAGACAACCCATCAGCTCTCAAACGCATAGAAGCCGTAACCGGACGCGAATTGGCAAGTCACGCGACTCCAACCTCGGGAAACCTTGGTCTTACCATGGTCTTTCTCCACAAGGTCAGCAAGTTCTACGTTCCCTCATCGAACCCGCTTTTGATTCCGGTCAATTAGATGCTCTACTCTCTAAGCTATTCGAGCCGTATAAGGATAAACCAGAGTCTACCTCGTCGGAGTTACTAGCTTTTCTTAAAGGATTAGGATTTCATAAGAAATTCGATTTGGCTCTGCGTGCTTTTGATTGGTTTATGAAGCAGAAGGATTATCAATCCATGTTGGATAACTCTGTTATTGCTATCGTTATCAGTATGCTAGGTAAAGAAGGCAAAGTATCTTCCGCTGCAAATTTGTTCAATGGTTTGCAGGAAGACGGGTTTTCGCTTGATGTCTACTCTTATACTTCGTTGATATCAGCCTTTGCTAATAGCGGAAGGTACAGGGAAGCTGTAAATGTGTTCAAGAAGATGGAGGAAGAAGGTTGTAAACCGACTTTGATCACTTATAATGTTATTTTGAATGTGTTTGGGAAAATGGGTTCTCCTTGGAATAAGATTACGTCTCTCGTGGAGAAGATGAAGACTGATGGGATTGCTCCGGACGCTTATACCTACAACACGCTTATAACTTGTTGTAAACGAGGCTCTTTGCATCAGGAAGCTGCTCAGGTTTTCGAAGAAATGAAGGCTGCAGGGTTTAGTCATGATAAGGTTACTTACAATGCGCTATTAGATGTTTATGGAAAGTCTCATCGGCCTAAGGAAGCTATGAAGGTTTTGAATGAGATGGAGCTCAATGGTTTTTCTCCGAGCATTGTGACTTACAACTCCTTGATCTCTGCATATGCACGGGATGGCATGCTCGATGAGGCAATGGAGCTTAAGAATCAGATGTCGGAAAAGGGAACGAAACCTGATGTTTTCACTTACACAACGCTTTTATCGGGGTTTGAAAGGGCTGGGAAGGTCGAATCTGCTATGAATATTTTTGAAGAGATGAGAAATGCTGGGTGCAAACCAAATATTTGTACTTTTAATGCATTTATAAAGATGTATGGTAACAGGGGAAAGTTTGCTGATATGATGAAGATTTTTGATGAGATCAACATGTGCGGTCTGTCCCCCGACATTGTCACTTGGAATACACTATTAGCAGTCTTTGGCCAAAACGGGATGGATTCAGAAGTATCAGGTGTATTCAAGGAAATGAAGAGAGCTGGATTTGTACCCGAGAGGGAAACTTTCAACACCCTAATCAGTGCGTATAGCCGCTGTGGTTCATTTGAACAAGCTATGACTGTTTACAGGCGAATGCTTGATGCTGGGGTCACTCCTGACCTCTCCACCTATAACACTGTGTTGGCAGCTTTGGCTCGTGGAGGAATGTGGGAACAATCTGAGAAAGTTCTTGCAGAGATGGAAGATGGTCGGTGCAAACCGAATGAGTTAACTTACTGCTCTCTACTTCATGCATATGCAAATGGCAAGGAGATAGGTCTGATGCATTCTTTAGCAGAAGAGGTGTATTCGGGAGTTATTGAGCCTCGAGCTGTGCTTCTGAAGACCCTTGTCTTGGTTTGCAGTAAGTGTGATCTTTTGTCAGAGGCTGAACGTGCGTTCTCTGAGCTCAAAGAGAGGGGGTTTTCACCAGACATAACCACATTAAATTCCATGGTCTCTATATATGGAAGAAGGCAGATGGTGGCAAAGGCAAACGAAGTGTTGGACTACATGAAAGAAAGGGGTTTCACACCAAGCATGGCGACCTACAATAGCCTCATGTATATGCATAGTCGGTCTGCTGATTTCGGAAAATCAGAGGAGATCTTGAGGGAAATACTGGCTAAGGGAATCAAGCCAGATATCATATCATACAACACTGTCATTTACGCCTACTGTAGAAATACTAGGATGAGAGATGCATCTAGAATATTCTCAGAGATGAGGGATTCAGGGATTGTCCCTGATGTTATCACCTACAATACGTTTATCGGTTCTTATGCAGCTGACTCAATGTTTGAGGAGGCCCTTGGCGTCGTTAGGTACATGATCAAGCATAGTTGTAGACCAAACCAGAACACCTACAACTCAATTGTCGATGGATACTGCAAGCTAAACAGGAAAGATGAGGCAAAACTGTTTGTTGAAGATCTGAGGAATCTTGATCCACATGCTCCCAAAGGCGAGGATCTCAGGTTACTGGAACGGATACTGAAGAAATGGCCATAGTTAATTGTTGATGAGAAACCTCACAGTAAACTTGTCGCACCCTGACTTCAAATCCGATGTAAGTGCTAAGTTTATCATAACTTCCATGTTCGTTGAGCATGTGAGGCACCTTTATTTCTTTTTGTGTTTGTACTTAGAGAGAAAAAGTAACTGTTGCAATGACTGGAGGAGTATTGTTGCCCTTTGTGATATATGTAGACACATGAACTGCTGACTTCTTGATGAATTCCAATCTAACCTTGAAATAGTCTGAACACTTTGATGCTACAGAGGGAGGTCCTGAACACGCTTGTAGCTGTTAGTGCAGGATCCCTGGTGAAGAACTCAACAAGTGTTGTATCTTCTTGGTGACTCATAGTAAGGAATTGTCTGTGCATAAGAGCTAAATGTTTTTCAGTTCCCACCGTAGATCTTAAACTCTGGCTGTATATTAACCATAACTGTTAGAAATCCTAGCGTAGCTGTTATAAGGCTGACCATGTTCTCTTAAAGTTTACATGAAGAGTTATCATGGCTCTTACCTAATGGAGTATTTGATCTGTGCACTAGGTGTATTGTATCAGATGCTTCTCATGGTTGTTGTCTGAGAAGAACATAACTGAGGCGTCACAAACAGGAGGGACAAATGGCAGAATCGGTCAGAACCAGTTTTCCGGGGAATGGTACATATATTAAATGGTTACCAGTTGTATTGTATTTTTTTGATAGTTGTTCATCCCCTTTTGTAGTTTCTCTTATTTGGTTGTGTAGTTAACCAAAAAGCTATGTTACAGCTAGCAAATCTCATAAAACCCATATGTTATGCTGTGACTGTGAGAGAGATACATAATGACAACGTTCTTGTTCTTCTCTTGAGCCGAGCCTTTTTGTTGTTTTTGACTTTTGTTGACAGCAACCAAATATTCCGAAACCCGGTTAAGAAAAATCAGGAAACCGAACCGTATTGGTGAATCCTATCAAATCAAAGAAAACAAAGGCAGATGAATCAAACTGAATCGAATCAAAGCTAAACCGAAAAAGAAGTAGGTTTAAGATGTTCTCTCAGAACTTCTAGATGGGCTTCTCATTAGCTAAAGCCCAATAATATTTAGGTGGGCTGTCAATATAAACAATTAGCAATCGGGCAGTTTGATCCCCCGTTTTTATTGGTAGTTGAATTTCTATTTTTCTCAATTAATATAAACGTCAGTGAATTTCTATTTTTCTCATTTATGAACGTTACTACGTTAGTGAATTTCCATTTTTTTTGATAAAGAGCCGTTTGAGATTTTCCTTTTTATATTTTTTAATTACGTTTTAGTTTTTTTCCTTTTTACTTAAACAAACCAGTTATTTCCTTTTGTTTATTTTACGCTTCAGATATTTCCTTTTTTTTTTTTTTTTGTCGTCAACGCTTCAGATATTTCCATTTTTCTCAATTAATGTTTCCATATTTCCAAACTGGCATTCTAAACAAAATTCCCTTATTAATGTTAAGTGAATTTCCTTTTTTCCTTTTTTTCTTTTTTTCTTTTATCATCGTTATTTCCTTTTTCTTATGCTTCAGTCTTCAGATATTTCCTTTTTTTTTTTTTTTTGCTGATGGTTTTTACTTTTTACTAGTGAGAGCATCTTCTATATAAACGGGGGTTTTCTGTTTCTCTACCAAAAATTGTCATCGACTAAGAAAACACAAACTCTCTTACACTTTTGTTGGTTCTTCTTCTTCCTTCCTTATAATTCTCTCAGTTCTGATTCTATTTCCCCCTTAGTTCTCTTGCTCTCTCTCTCTCTCTCAGTTCGTATTATGCTGGGTCTAGGGTTCACTTCATCAATCTCTTTTCATCGTCTTTGCGTCACCTGTATATAATTCCTCTCTCTGGTTTCAAGCAAGGAAGACGGTTCTCTTGATATTTGTTCATCCTTCAATCTTATTCTTAAACCAAAGTTCTACTCTGTAACAAGTAATTTTATCTTCACTTTTATTATTGTTTTGAGATTTGATTCTGTTTCGTTGGGAATTGGTATCATCTTTGATTAAATTGCTTCTTCGTCTCTGTTTATGCAGGAATTAACTGTGATTAGGACATGGCACGAAGACGCACACAACACAATAGAGTCTCGTCTTGTCTGGTTGTACGGTAACTTCTTCTTTTATGTTTCTTCTGAGTTCTGACCGTTTGATTAATTGGTATCTCACTCTTATCTTTCGTCCTGCAACGAATGTTATTGAGAGAGACTTTCTAGGCTCTTGGTTATTTTACTTGCCTCCTCAATACTTAATTGTGTGTATCACTCACTGTTTTGTTGGGTCCTTTTATATTCTCAATGCAGGTTACTCTACTGCTACTTGACGATCCTCAGCCCTCAGGTATGGTTAAATGTTTAGATCATGTTTTCTTCTTTATAACATATTGTTCAACACAGCTTGGTTTTGAGTGCGCTTTTTCTTTGTAGGTTCATCCGCATGTAGCTAGCTACTGGGAACAAGACTCTCAAAGTTTGGTATCAAGAACCAGAAGCTATCATGGTTTCTGGATGAGGGGGGTCAAAGTACATCCCAAAGTGTTGAAGTACAGAGGTAACTTCAATTGTTGTTGCTTTAAGTTGTGTTTTGATTTTACCCAGATGAATACGGATTATTCTCTCTTCATCATTGATTTTGCTCTGTCTTTTCAGCTCTATACAATTTCGGTATATTTTGTTTATTCCAGGTGGACATACTCAGAGATAATGCAGTCTTATGGTGTATCTACTTGAACAACTTCGGCCTCCAGGCGTTGAGGTTACAGTGGTAGGAGGAGTTTCTCGTATCAAAACTGTCACTTTGCAACTTGTATGCTATTTCAATTAGCAAATATTTCAAATTCGTCCCCTTTCTATTTACATTGGTATGTTTATATGGTCAGGTGTATCTACGTAGCAGCAGAATCGTTCAAGGTGTTCTCAGTTGCCAAATCTGGATTGAGGTTAGGTTTTGACTCTGATACTAAACTTCACTGTTTTTACCAATTATGTAATGATGAGATCATTCAGTCTGTTCACGTTCACTCTTTTCTTTTGTTGTATTTGCAGGATTGTTGGATAGCACATTACATAAAGACGTATTAGTTTCGTCTCTTTCGGTGGTATTTGATATTCTTTTTTTTTCCTTCAAATCTAGTATTCTTCTTACTGTTTGATAATAAGCATATGCTTCAATCTCGACCATAAATTGATTACACTGTCTATCCTGAAGAAGATTGATCACAAATTGGCTATTTTTACCTACTGCTTAGTTTATCTGTGAGATATGTTATAAAAGTTTACAAATCTTATTAACTAATATTATTATGTGTTTATGATTTGATCTAATCAGATTTTGAATCATGCCCTTGGTTATAATTGACCTTATACTTTTTGTATTTTGTTTCTCTCTTTCAGAAAAGCGTGAAGGAGTGAGATTATGATGGAATCTCTTTTTGCTCTCTCACCAACAACAAAAATTGTGGAAGCGTCAGGAATTGCTGGTAAGCATGTCAATGTCGATTCTCAGGTATGGTTAATTTTCATTGTTTTAAGTTTTAACTCATGTTCTTAGTTTATGAGTTAACTTTCTTTGTTTGGTTATCTTAATGTAGTTACGAGGAAGAACAACTCCTACTTTGGTATCAGGAACGAGAAGCTTCAGTGGTTTCTGGATTAGGTGAAGGTACATCTCAAAGAGCTCATTGCCATTTAGACTCTCCCATTACAAAGGTAACTCTGACTATATTTGCTTCAAGTTGTGTGTTAGATGTTCCCTAATGAATATGGATTGCTCTTTGTACATGTGTCCTATGTTTACTTTTGCTGCGTCTCTTAAATCACAAGTTCGTATGTTTTGTTTTTTCCAGGTGACTATATTCAGAGATATTGCAGTTCTTATGGTGGAATACATTGACGAAAACTAGCGTCAGGGCTTTGAGGTTAGCTACTTGAACCTTGGTGGATCTCATCATTCACCCTAAAAACAACACTTCTGCCTTCGGTTATCTCAGGTCGGGTCCCCAGTTCAAGCAAGGGAGAAGACTGTCATGATTTTAACGGATTATTAATGCTATTCTAAAACCAAAGAGCTACGGTATGAGAATCTTTCCTTTTTACATCTTCAATTAAATTGTTTTTTCCTTTTCACATCTTCAATTAAATTGTTTTAATATTTGATTCTGATTCGTTGGAACTTGGGATCATAAACTGTTTAATTAGTTGACATTACCTATCTGGCTCTATTTTATGCAGGAACAGCACTTGATAGCACATCACACGAAGACGCACTAGTTTCATCTCTTTTGTGGTATGTGATCTGGTTTAATTCTTCAAATTTATTGCTTTTATTTAATGTTTCTTCATCCCCTTTCTTTTTACTTTGGTATTCTATTCACAGGTGTATAACGTAACAGACACATGCTGCTGAATACTTAAGGGTTTCCTCAATCGCATTAGTCATTGGTTTAACTGGCCTCACTTTTATTTACCAGGTTTCGTGATCACAACTTCGTTCCCTTTAGTTAGCAAATGTGTTCCCTTTTATTATTTATCTAATCAGATTTCCATTTGGTTATGATTATATTTGGTTTCTCTTACAAGAGCTGGAAATAAGAATTCAAGCACTAGTAAGCTCCCCTTTTTGTTACAACATTGAAGACGTTGAAATTGAAGTCTATAACAATGCAAGTATTTTGTTTTCATTGCTTTAGCTCTTTATTTCTCCTAAGTAGCTACTAGTGATTAACCATTTTTCTACTAGGTGCGTTACACGGTGGTTTGTGGTTCAAGCAAGTACGACGATTCCTTCGACTTGGATTCTTAATGCTATTCTAAAACCAGAGAGTTATGGTAAGAGATTTTATAGTTTTACATCGTGAATTAAATTTGTTTGACATTTTATTCTGATTCGGTGGGACTTGGTATCCTAAGTTCACTCGCTCTATTTATGCAGGTTGTTTGCAATGGGACTTGATAGCAAGTCGCACGAAAACACATTAGTTTCATGTCTTCCATGGTATCTGATCTTATTTTGTTCTTCAAATATATTGTTCTTCTTTCATTGCCATCTAGGCTCTTCTCCATTACAAGTTAACTCCAAATATACTTGCTTTTATGTTTAGATGTACCCAGGTGAATACAGATATGCACTCTGCTCATGTGTAACATAATTATGACTTACGAGTGAGCTTTTTCTGTTTGATTACATTTTATTTCAGGTGCATGTGCATCCACATGTAGCTACTGGGAACAAAATCTCAATGTTTGGTATCAGGAACAAGAAGCTTCAATTGTTTTCAGATTAGGTGAAAGACATCCCAAGAGTTCTTTGCCATCTAGTCTCTACAATTAAAGGTAAGTGCGATCATAGCTGCTTTAAATTTTAATAGATGTATTTGATGAATATGAATTGCTCTCTGATCATTTGTCCCATGTTTGCTTATGTTAAGTCCCTTAAATCACGACTATTGAGCTCTACGTATGTGTGTATACTTTGTTTATTCCAGGTGGATATGTTCAGATATGCTGCAGTGCTAATGGTAGACTACATTTTTGAAATCCGGCATTAATGTTGCCAGGTTAGCTACTTGATGAGAAACCTCACAGTAAAATTGTCAAACCCTGACTTCAAATCCGATGTAAGTGCTTCTTTTATCATAATTAATCAGATCCTCATGATCATAAAATTTGGTATCTCACTGTCTCTCTCTCCTGAAGCAAATTGATCACATACTGTCCTGTTTCCTCTACTGTTTTGCTAACCCGTATGTCCTGAAGTGAGTGTTATTAATTTGGAATTTAGAGACTTAGGCTCTTGGTTATGTTGATTTGTGACCCCCAAAATTTGTTCGTATCACTCACTGTATTTGGTCCTTTACATTCTCGATGCAGGTTATTTGTTAAAATCCATCCCACTGGATGTAAATTTCCGTTTGAGCCTTTTCCAGTTTTGCTGAACCTTCTCTCCACTCCACATGGGCTACTATAACAATGTAAGTGCTTTTTGTTTTCTTTCTTCTAAAGCACGATACTATTGATATACACCTTTATGTTTTCATGATTACAACTTGGTCCCTTCAATTAGCAAATATTTCAAATTCATCTCCTTTCTTTTTTACGTTGTTATGTTTCTATAGGTGTATAGACGTAACTGTAACATGCTGCTCAATGGTTAAGGGATTTCTCGTCAGCCAGGAACATGATTAGGTTATCCTGACTTTTATGTACCAGTTTTCATGATTACAGTTTGGTCCTTCAATTAGAAAATATCTCAAATGTGCTTACGATTGATCTAATCAGTTTTTTCTGTGTAGGTGCATTTCTAATGGAAAGGAAAGCTGTTCGGAGATTTCATTCCTACCTGCTCAAGAAAGTGTTTTGTTAAATGTTGACTTAAATAATATTATGGAAGCTTCAAGATGTGTTGGTAAGCATGTCAGTTTACTGCTGTGTGTTGATCCTCAGGTTTGTTTAAATCTGTAATGTTTTAGCATCTTGTTCTAGCTTTTATAACATGATTGTTCAACACATCTTGGTAGAAAATTGATGAAATGTAATCAGATTTTTCATTGTCTTTACTGTTTAGGTGCATTTTCAATATGTTACGGGGTTTATGGTGGAAACATTGATGAAATCTGGCGTCAAGGTTTTGAGGTTAGCTGGTGGTGGTTAGGGATCAAATTTTTGAATGAAGTCCGCAAATCAGTCAGGGGCTTGTGACAGGATATCAGAATTTGGTCAAAGAGATTCGTCCTGCTTTTCCATGAACTATCAATGACTGGTGCTCCAATTTCCATGATGGAGTTGGCTTCCGAGATTTTTAGATATTGTGCAACAATATATGCAGTAGTTTTTGACCAGATAGGGTATGCAGTAGTTTTTGGCAGATAGGGTTGGATAATTGCAAGAGCTCACAAGGAAAAGGATCAAAGTGGTTGAAGACAAAAGTGAACTCAGCTTCAAAACTGCCAGGGAAGCAGATCTTGTCATTGCAGGATCAACAATCTGTGCTTAATGGATAGGTAAGGAGAAATAGAGCTTTTTATCCTTTAACATCACTATTTGCATGCGCATTTACTGGAAGATGCATTTTATAATAGAAGTAGTCATTTATATAGCATGCTCACTTTAGATTGTTTTCTATTGTTGCAAATGTTATTCATTCTTCATCAAAAAAATTGTTAAAACATGTTCTATAACCTTTTTCTGCCTCAAGTTTGGATACTTATGATGATATCTGTTTCAATCTCCACAGATCAATTCATGGATTTAGCTGGTGGAAGTCAAATCGTGTGGTGGGTGATAGAGGACTTTAATCGAGCAAACCTGTGACTGACCGACTGAAACTACTAATTTTTCTACTGAAGTACCGAGCAAACAATGGTTAACATGGTGTGAAGAGGACCATATAAAGCTTAGGTCTCAGGGGTTATTGTTCCGCTATCTGTTCATGATGAGTTGACTTTTTTGCCGGGATTTCCAGTGTACTAAATACTCCAACACTGACCCAAGAGATGATGCAGAAGAAGCGACAAAGACTACGTGAATCAGACAGAAAGGAGTTCGGTTTGACAGATACCGCTTGTGATGCCTCGTAGCATAAACCTGGGAAAGGTACAACTTTGTTTCCTTAGATATGCCGTTTTGGCAGTGGAAGGATAACAATAACAAGAACAAGTAGCTAAAAGTAATCTGTCCAAAATCAAGAAACTCAGGGCACGAGGTAGGGAAAGATTAGTCATTCTGTTAAACATCGTTTAAGAAATTCATCATGGAAGATGAAATTACATCTCCTGCTATTGAAAATCCATCTGTAGTGGTAAAGCTGTTGTTATCTGGCAACATAACACATAAACAAGACCTTAAACTTCTTCTTGAATGAATAAAGTTGCATACGTTGAGAAAATGTTGAGCTTCTTGTCAAATAACTGGAAACTTCTAGAACTTGATAATATTGACTTCAGCCACCACTCGTGTTGCCTCGTTCCCAACTCGCAGGTAATCTTTCTCATTTTTGATCACTTTATGGCTGCACTCAAAACATACACTATCTAAAAAGTTATTTGATGCATTTGTTTACCCCTCCTCAGGTTGTGAAACAGGGAGATGATGAAAACATTAGGGAGAGTGACTATCGGCACAATGGCTTATGGTCTTCCGGTTACAAACATTCGATAGATAAATCCATGTTCTCTTATTCGAGAGAGAAAAAAATGCAACGTTCTCATCCTAATCATTGTTATTAATGGGAGCAGCTGTGTTGAACAGACTCCGGAGGAACAAATTAAAAGAGAGTGGAGCACAATGTTAAAGGGGTACTTCACCCTGTGGGAAAGCCAGGTAACAAATTTTTAGCTCAGAATCTCTTGTTTCTTTCTTAAAAACCCATCTTCTTGCTTCTTCATATAAACAGGCAAGCTTCTAGAGTAGAAGCTGACACACCATATAGTGTCAGGGAGAAAAGCTACTAAACGATAGCAAATGTATTTTGAAATTAAACATGTGATGAGCGGCTGGAGTCAATTTGAAGTTTCAGATGATGCGAGACCCGAATGAAGGAAGAGTATGCACAGTTACAAATAGAAACAGTTCCATAAAGTATATGAACACGAGACATGTTCATTGCAGCAGGTGTTGTATGTTGTTGAGTTAAAATGGTCCCAAGTAAATAATGAAAAATTCATTAGCCAATGTATGTAACCAAAGTGAATATTATGTAGCCGAGTAGGCAATACAGCGAGTACAGAAAGTTGTAAGCGTGAGATTGCAAGAACAAATCATGAGTTTTTTTTTTTTTTTTTTGGGTCTTAACTGCGTTTTATTCATCATAACGAAGTCACAGAGACTAGCCAATACATATTTTCCAGACAGCAAAGAAGATAAGCCCAAAAATCATGAGATTTTAAATCGACAGTGACGACACAGTTCATTCAATATTGAATAGCATTGTTGTTAAATCTGAATTACTTGTGAATTCATAAAAACAGCTGCCCAATCAAGGGAAAATGAAATTCTGCTGGGCCTAAATGGGCCTTTCGGCCTTTTCATACTTCCACTTTAAAATTACGGTCATACCCTTTCAGGAAACCCTAAGTAGCTAATATGTGCTTTAAAAGCACACAGCCTCAGTCACAAACCCTCGTTTCCAGCCAAAAAAACCCAAAATGGTTGCTTCAGCCGCCGCACGACCCCTCGTCTCCGTCCAAGGACTTGACGGTGACATGAGCACCGATCAATCCTCCACCGTCACTTTACCCGACGTCATGACTGCTCCCGTTCGACCAGACATCGTCAACTTCGTCCACGCCCAGATGTCGAACAATAGCCGTCAGCCTTATGCAGTCTCCAAAAAGGCCGGTCACCAGACCTCCGCCGAGTCTTGGGGAACCGGAAGAGCCGTGTCTCGTATCCCCCGTGTTCCCGGTGGTGGAACTCACCGTGCCGGACAAGCTGCCTTCGGAAACATGTGTCGCGGTGGTCGTATGTTTGCTCCGACTAAGATCTGGAGACGCTGGCACCGTCGGATCAATGTGAACATGAAGAGGCACGCGATTGTTTCTGCAATCGCCGCCACAGCTGTTCCAGCTCTTGTGATGGCTCGTGGTCACAAGATCGAGAATGTTCCTGAGATGCCGCTTGTTGTCAGTGACTCAGCTGAAGCTGTGGAGAAGACTTCTGCTGCAATCAAAGTTTTGAAGCAGATCGGTGCTTATGACGATGCCGAGAAAGCAAAGAACAGTATCGGAATCCGTCCGGGTAAAGGTAAAATGAGGAACCGTCGTTACATTTCCAGGAAGGGTCCTCTTGTTGTGTTTGGAACCGAAGGAGCCAAGATTGTTAAAGCTTTTAGGAATCTTCCTGGTGTTGAGCTTTGTCATGTTGAAAGGCTTAACTTGCTGAAATTAGCTCCTGGGGGTCACTTAGGTAGGTTTGTGATTTGGACTAAGTCAGCTTTCGAGAAGCTTGAGTCTATCTATGGCTCCTTCGAGAAACCATCTGAGAAGAAGAAGGGTTACGTCTTGCCTCGTTCGAAGATGGTGAACGCTGACCTTGCTCGGATTATCAACTCCGATGAGGTCCAGAGTGTGGTGAACCCGATTAAGAAGGACGCGAAGAGAGCTGTTATGAAGAAGAACCCATTGAAGAACCTTAATGTGATGCTCAAGCTGAATCCTTATGCTAAGACCGCCAAGAGGATGTCTCTGTTGGCTGAAGCTCAAAGGGTCAAGTCTAAGAAGGAGAAGCTCGAAAAGAAGAGAAAGGTCGTCACTAAGGTAAACTCAATGCTCTTTTTCCTCTACGACTGTCTTTTTTGGATGATTGTTTTGATTTTTAAAGGTTTGATTGTGTGAAGTTTCTGTTTTACTTTCTAACATGAGAGTCAATTGCGTCTGGTAATAATATAAGATATAATGCTAAGGCTTTTGTAGATTGTGTGTGTTCATTACTTCATTAGTATGGTAGAAATTGAGTTTGAATTTGGAATGTTTCTTTGGACTTTCCGAGTCAGTTCCAACAGAGGATTTCATTTTAGATAAAGGTATCATGTGGAATACAATTTGGTTTATTTATTGATGTTGGAATGGTTCTTTGACTGATTATGATTGGTTTAACTAGTGTCTCATGTCCATTAAACAAACAAAGTTCTTTTGTCTTGACATTTTTGTGTAGTGTTTCACTCTACATCCTTCATTGTCTATTGGTATTTTGAATAGTTTTGTGTTGTTAACCTGTTGGGTTTTTGAAACTCACCTCTTTGGTATTGTTGTTTACTCTAGGAGGAGGCTCAAGCGATCAAAGCGGCAGGCAAGGCTTGGTACCAGACTATGATCTCAGACAGTGACTACACCGAGTTTGATAACTTCACTAAGTGGCTCGGTGCTAGTCAGTGATAATGCTTTCGTCATCGCAAATTATCTCTTATTTAGGCAAAGATTTTGGTTTATCTGTTTTATTATCTAAGTTTGTCTTGGATTTCTCGGGGATTTACTTTGGTGAGGTGTTATGTTGTTTTGGTAAGAGTATTTCTAAGAACTATGAACATGTTTTTCAATCTACTTCCCCCTTCTTGCCTTTGCTCTCTATTTCAAAGGAAGATGTGATGAAGCCCTTGAATGAAAATCATCTTATCAAACAATTGTCTTGACTTGATAAGAGAAGTGAAACTTCCATGTACAACTAAAGTAATTCGTAATCTGGGAGCTACAACATTTTTGTGGTTCTTAACAATGTAGGCATAGAGACTTCCAACTCGAGTCTTCCCAATCGAAAAATATGTAAATCAAACACTTGTGTGGTTAGGCTCGAGTTGGTTCAAAAACTGTTCACCTCTTCATCTCCCCCTCATCACACTTAAGAACTACTAGGGGATACACAGACCATGCTCGACACACCTGGTCCTTAATTGCTGGATGTGTTAGTTCCGCACCAAAAGGAGATTGCATGATGAAACCATTCCGATAGATATAATAACAGTTGTATGATGTCTTCCTCAGTTCCTTGTACCTCAAGTTTTCCTAAAATTCTGGAATATATACAAGCAGAAAACAAAATAGTGAAGTAAATAAATATATGAAGATCTTCTTTTATATATATATATATATATATATATGAAGATCTTCTTCTTCTTTTTTTTTTTTTTTTTTTTGTCAATAAAGTACAGATTTTGTTTTGATTAATTGGAAATGTGAATATCTTTAACTCCCCCAAAAAAATTTAGTCACACAACTTTGCGTATAATTTGGTCAGATAACAACAACTTTCGTCTCTTCTTTCCTTGTAAATTGCTAGAAAATATTTTGGAAGATTTTTTTGTTGTATTTAACAACAATTTTGTTTGAACGTCCTTCAGATTGGTTATCACAAAAAAATCGGATGCAACTATGTACAGTATATTGATAATTTCATAATAAGAAATCCTTGAGATATAATATTGCCTTGATTTTATTCTCATACTAGATATTTTTATTTAATTGACCTGCCGTGTGTTTATATATTACTATGGGAAAATCCTAAAGTAAACGAGTTATTAAAAGCATTAACTTTGTTGCACTTGGCTTTTAGTATCAAAATGAAAAAAGTGACTAAAATTAGGCTATTAATAATCAATAGTTCCATAGAAACGAATTAATTGTACGCTATGGAGAAAAAAGCAAAGCTTTTGGGATTTAATTGTATGGTTTAAAACTGTTAATGACGACACGTGTCGCACACAACCATATGAGGTGGTGCTAAATACTCTGATCCCTAAAATCGGAAAGGAAACGGCATACAATAATTCCCATCCGTTGGATCTTCCTACTTCCGATTATCAACCATACGATCTAATCTTATCTTCCCTAGTTCTCGTGTGCTCATCCGCAGACGATATATAATTAACAACCCAGTCTCTTAGCAAATAAGCTAAAAGAAAAAGTAAATTACATATAGAGAGATAT